CTGCAGCTAGCCATCATTCGTACAATTCGAATGAAGGTATTGGGGAACTATTTGGAAGCATGTTCACTGACTCCGATATAGCTAAAAGTTTCGCATGTGGTGCAAGGATAAGACTGCATACATGATTCGATTCGGCATTGCGCCACATTTTAAGAAATTACTTATAAACAATACAGGTATTTGTATATACAGGTAATATTGTTAAACTTCTCTCAAGATTTATTTTTGGACATGTTCAAACTTTTATCTCACGTTGCATCAACAAATAAATACCAATGGTTACCACCCATTACCATTCCATGGACTCTTTGGACAGTGTTTTAATCGACAGTGTAAGTTATTGTTACAAGTTACCTTGTGATGAAATAATTCACTATTTTAGTCTGTGTGTATGAGAATGTGTATCTGTCTTAGTATGTGTGTCACATGACACATACATTTTTATTAATGTTTATGGCTGTTGTCAAGTGTCATTTGTTTTAAGTGTCAAGCTGACTTTATTAGGTGGGGTTAAGGGTTATGGTTAGGATAACCCAAGGGCTAGAGTTAAATTAAGGACAAACGAAACTCAACTTGACACTACAAAAAAAACAAATGATATTTAATGACAATACTTAATAATAACAGTTAAACATTAATTTACTTAATATTTATGATGGGCATGAAGATTTACCCCCCCTTCCTCCAAAAAAAAAAAAAAAGGCCGCTGCCCGATTGTTGGTAGTAAAAAAGCTAGTAAAAGGTAGTAAATTCAACTCTAGGATTCCTGCATAAACTCTGGTCTCCTTTGTTTGAGGCTGAACAGATTCAGCTCAGCTAACCTCTCCTCATAAGACCAGGAATCATTCAGGAATCATTCAGTGTGACATTCGGCAAGGACAGAGGAGGCAGTCCCCGTAATGCGGTAGTGAACAGGTTTAATAAACAATCCGGGAATGAACACAGCCAGAGGGGAAATCCAAAATCGTAGTCAAAGGGCAGGCAAGTGGTTGGTGTCCAGGAGAGTCAGTCCTATGAGGAGAGACGGGACAGGATGATGATGGGAAGGGAGGAACGAAGCGGATGGGGTGGCAGGGCAGGACAGAGCAGGCAGGCAGGGTGGACAGGAGGAGGCTGGTCAATGGAGCAGGCGTGACAGGCAGGGCAGGTAGAACAGCANCGTACAGATGGGTCACACAGAGGATTCTTCCCGCATCACCCAGCAAGGTGTCCCTATTGCTCACTACCGACAGTTACCATACTTATGACCAGAGACCCACACAACAATTACATTTCAAACTACATTTTCAGACAACTTCACATTATATGTGATCGTAGAGCTAAATTTTTCCCTATTAGCAGGGCTCTCAAGTGTCACGCATTGAGAGTGACAGTCACTCTTTTCAGTCTATTGTCACGCACTCCCGCCACACATTGTATTTCTCACTCGGAAAAATAATTTGTAGGCTAATATGCTGCAGAGCCCAATTTTTCCCCAGACCGCGGCACAATAGCGCCTCACTATAAAACAAGCGTGTCTCCGCTGGAGTCTAACGTTGCGTTCATTTTTCTCTCGGAACTCGGAAATTCTGAGTTGAATGACATCACATCCGACAATCTCCCGTTCGAGCTACCACATCTCGGAACAAACATGGCTGCCTCCTTGAACACGCTGCTGTGTGTTGTTGCTTTATATTTTAGCAGAATTGGAGTGAGATTATTTTTTCAGAGAGACAAACAAACAAGAAATACGAACTAGTCAAACCACATTAAAAGCTTTATAAAATATTTTAGTACATTCATAGCGATATTCTTTTTTCGATAGGCAAACAAACTACAAACAAACCAAAAACACTAACAAGTCTGGTAAAAATCTGATATTGCATGCTAGGATACTGTTTACGGTCATGATATGGTATTCTCTAAATCGAATACGTGCAATTACATGTGTAACTATTAATACATTTAACAAAATAAACATTTTTAAAGATTTATAAAACAGAATTACTGTTGAGCGTGTAAGCCGCTATGTTGAAATTACGTCACAGGGGCAACTCGGACAACAAAATCTTATCTGACATCAACGTCATAAAAGAGGCGTGTTTACGACGGGAAGTGACGTTTTTCGTGACGTTTCGTGATGTTTTCACCCGAGTTTCGAACATTAGAGCCCCAAGAGCCTGTCACTTACCAGCCAATCAAAAAAAAGAAAGGGCCTACACAATAGCCAATCAGAAAATAGTACTATTATATCTGGGTAAAATACAACACAACAACCAATGAAAAGGCATCCTGTGGAATGTCACTCTTGCCTGTCTTCAAAACTTGACAGCCCTGCTATTAGTTATGAAAGATTATTAAATTTCTTACTTACACGGTGACTATACCCTTCTTAGAATGCATTTTCCACCATCGCTG